TAGATCCTCTGTCTAATTTTAGTGTTCTAATTATCGTGTAACTAATCAAATTATATCATGTCATTTAAGAATTTGATAATTTAGAATTAATTTTTCATTTTTTAATATTTGAATTCGTTAAGTGAGGTAGTATAAAATAGTTAGTTAAATACCATTTAAAACATCAAAATTGGACATTAATTTAAATCCAGACGGGTAATGTGTCTAGGTTTTAATGATGTGTACTCTATATCAAACAGACCACCAAAAAAAAAAAACTCTACGTTCCTAATTTTAACGTTGAAGTAAAGAGAGGACTTCCAATCGGTTGTCTCTTATCATACAGATAACTTTAATGCATGATGATTGTATAAAAATGTAGATATTATTCGCCCCTAAATGATGAAATTCCACGGTCTTTTGACAGAACGATGAAGACGAAACTATCAATATGAAAATTGCAAATTAAACCAGATATATATGTATATATATTTGTTTGAAAGGAAGGTATGTATTGCAACCAAATACTAATTCTGCTCGGGAGCTTTAAATATATGAGACCAGATAAGAGTGTGTAATATCGGCTGTACATATATATATATATATATATATATATATGGAAATTTTGTGGTAGGGTGCAAAAGAGAGTAGTTTACTGTGATCAATCACGGAGTCGGAAGTTCTTAACTAGAGATGAATGAAACAATAAATTTTAACTAATTTATAAAATTTACATAAATGTAGTGTAGTTTTATATTCGAGTTTAAGTTTAAAATATGAGAATACTTAAAAGTCAAAACATGGGGTATAATTAGAATTTTTAAAAGAGTTAAATGTAAACATTGCAATTAAAATATTTCAGGAGGTAAAAATATAAGGAGTCTTTGGACCCAAAATAGCTACGTCCTACTGTAATGTCCATTTGATTATAACGTGATCATTATATGATTGGACGTGAATAGACACAGTTCGTTAATAAAAGCTGCGCACATATAATAACAATCTATTGGAGCAACTAATATGAAGTAGTTTGCCGTTAAGATCTGGCCAGGTGGGGAAAAGTAACTAGAAGTGCTTTAAGATCCGTTGATTTCACCGATTCGAATTCTAAATTCAAACTGGTAGAATCAAGTTTAGAATTCAAATTTTTCAACGATATAAGTCACCGATTTGAGTTTAAAATTTGAGTTTTTCACCGATTTAAGTTTAGAATTTGAGTTTGTTATAGTAAAAAACTCTTATAAACAGTCACATTTAACTTTTTTACTACAGTCTCACATAAAATCACAACTAAACTCGAATTAAAAATTCAAATTAATAAACTAAACGGGTCTTCAATCTACTGGTAATTAACTTGTGCAAGCCCTCAAAATTGACAAGTACTCTTTTGCGTTTGAACATTTCTATTCATTTTATAGAGTTAAGATCCCGTTATTCACCTAAAATATATATCATTAAATAAGTAGATAGAACCAAATTTAATAGGATCCATCTTTTTATAAATATGAGAATTTATCCTCAGGGAATTGAATACCATTTTGTTATTATTATTTTTGTTTTGCTTTGACAAGGCTGGACATAGACTAGGCCGGTAAACGTATATGAATTATTGAGGGCCATGGCTAAAACCATGCAATATTGTCTCATACATCATAAATGTACAGTAGATTTTATTAAAAAGTCACTTGATCGGTCAGTGGCTAAGAACCACCTAGGTAGACATATATAGCTAGAAACTTTTTTTTTTTTTTTTTTTTTTTTGGGATAATTGAGTTAGAAACAATAATGTAGGTCCTTATCGATGGTCTACAGCTCTAGGCAGATGTTAAACATTTTGGATAGAGACATTTAATACTGTTTAAACACTTATCTTTAAACAAATTCCCCATCTAATAAGTTAATGGATGTCGCATATATGTCCTATTATCTTTATATATAAGGTTTTAAACGAGGAAATAAATTTCACACAGGATTTATAACATGTTGAAGCATCACTATCAATTTAGTTCACAACTGCACATTCTTCAAGTTATTGCACTTAGTGGGCAAGGCTTGAAGGTATAGGGCAACGTCCTTGACCATACCACTTCTCATACAAAGTCTTTATTACCACGTGAACTGAAGCATAGGATTGGTTATTTGTCAAAGCTAATTAAATTCTCGAAAGACATATACGTAACAGTATTAAATCTCCGTTCTCCATTCTGATATCATATTAATTTATTACGTCTGGTATATATTTATGAAATTATTTAATTAATGTATATGTTCACTATATATTCATATGTATGCGAATGTTATGATTATTATTAAACAGAAAACATTCCTCAAAGCACGGGTCATTGTTCTCATTAAGACTACAAGGACAATGATGGACACCTAATGATATTGCCATACGTACTCAGAATTAATGCGAATTATTGCATTGTGCATTATCAAGAAGGGTCTAAGCCCATAAACAGTAACTATCACGTAGTTAGCTGTTGTTTTACACAATGTCTATATTTATGTATATCTTACAACAAAGAAAAGCTATGATACAACAGTAAGTCGAACATATATATATATATATATACATATATACATACATGTATGTATAGATATACCACCAATGCATTGTCAATGAGCAGTGCTAAATGCTACCCACTATCTATCTCTTTATATTTCTACAGACAAAAAAGGCATTTAAAGTCAGAATATGAATCAAACTTGAACTGACTTTACATCTTAATGTTCTTAAATGGACCACACATATAATACACTCGGCAAAAACTAGTTAGGCATGACCAGAATCTCATCCTTTCTTGAGCTTTATAACCAATTATATCGTAAAATATGAGTGGAAGAAAAAGGATAGCTTGAAAACGCGCTTCTTTAATCTAGCACTCTAATGACGCGTGGTAAAACACACAAATGCAACTTTTTAACAATGTGGCTAATGAATTTGTCCTGATGTATTTTTGCACTCTGAAAAGGAAAATATCCCATCGATAACTCCTATCAAGTAAAAATTCGACAAATGTTGTTGGTGGGAGACTGGGAGTAATCTTTGGATCTTATATGAAGGGAAATAAGAAAGGAAAAAAAAAAAAAAGTTTTCAAAAAGGGTAATGATATGACTTATGAGGCGCTACATTGTAATATAGTTTCAACATATTTGTCATGACATAATTGGGTGAATGTCCATCAAAAGATGTTGGAAACTGAGCTCCCTATCACTTTGAATTTTGTTGGCTTTTCATGATGATGCTGCCGATGCTTGCATGAGCTTTGTGTACAAAATAGTTCCCGTTAACAGATGGTAGCACTGAAGCTATGGAAGCAGACTTTTTTCTTTTCTTTTTTTTTTCACCTGCCTCTATCTCCTTCGGCCATTAGGGCAACTCCGGGGCCACCAAGAAAAGGAAAAGTCTAAACTAGACTCCTTTCGTCTATTCATTCGGCGTCCCTCACCTGCCACAAGACCCCACTCCCACATTGGGCGGTCCTGTTCTTGTAGTTATAGACTCTCGAATTCTAAAATGATAAAAAGAGGAGTCTTAAGGTCCGTTTAGTTTACTAATTCGAGTTAAGATGTGATTTTATGTGAAAATTTTTTACTGTAGCAAAAAATTAGATGTGACTGTTTCTGAGAATTTTTTACTGTAGCAAAACTCAAATTTTAAACTCGAATCGGTGAAATAAACGAGACTTTAACAAAGACAGTTTTAACACTACATCGTGGTAGCTATGGAGGTAGGCTTATTCTTATGGCTTCAAAAGAGGTAATAATTTTCACTAGCCAAATTCTAAGGTCTACAAACTACACTGGATGGATATGTGGTATGGCATTTTTGTTTCTTAATTAACTATAGGTTAACATGTAAGATTATATATGTAATACTGCATTTTATCTCTGTAAGTCTCAGAGTTATATGAAAATATATAATTGGTTGAAAAAGTACTGTACATGATAAACACTAATGGTAAAAGATAATATTGCTCTTATTAGTGAGTTACCAACTAATTTAAATATCGAAAATGCTGCTAAAATAATGCATGATGCCTTCCCTGTAACTACGATAATTCAACTAATTTGGTCACATGAGCTGTATCCGATAATTTGCTGACTCATAAACAAAGACTCGCTGATAAATGTTGCGCAGCAAGCCCATATTTGCCTAATTTGGGCCATTACATGTTGAGCGTTACCGCCAAATATTGTGTTCACAAATATTGCCTTGCCAAGCAATGATCTGTTTATTCGTGCTACTGAGCTCATAGATGTTTTATCAATCAAAAAGCTCATAGATTGTTTTGCATTAAAAGCATGCTACTAATCTTATTTTCTCCCTTAAAAAAAGAGATCAATGATATCTTCACACCTGCAATTTAAAGGCCACTTTAATAATCTATTAAGATCACAAGTGAAACAGAAAGAAATTTAAACCGTGCTTTTATCAACTAATCGTGGGTCTTCAAAATCACCTCATCTTCAAAAGTCATCTTTCATAGGTAGATGAAATGCATAATTTAGCTTCGTTGCAGATAGATGACGAGAATTCATCTCTGGGTTCTAGTTGAGAGAATTTTGTTATCTCTCGCTGCTACGTCCCCACCACCAATGGTAGCATGCATATTGCTAATGCTTAAAAACAAAATGACGAGTTCTAATTTAGTGGTTGCCCTAATGCTCCATACAAATCATGACCCAGAAAAAGGAAACTCTAAAAATTAAAGAAACCAATCAAAGAAAAGAAGTTCCTTTGGTTTTAGATCGATACATCACTCGAATGGCCCCTAAACAACGCAGCATAACACGACAAAAGGAAAACAAATAAAGTCTGTTCCTCTATTGTGTAATAATGATGTTTTAGTTAAAAATTTAAAAGCCGTCGATATGTCCGAGTGGTTAAGGAGACAGACTCGAAATCTGTTGGGCTTTGCCTGCGCAGGTTCGAATCCTGCTGTCGACGAACTCTCTTTTTTTTTTTTTTTTTTTTCACATAAAAACATTGAAATTCTCTGGAAGGGCAAAATCGTCATCACAAAAAGATCCTAAAGTCCACCGCTCAGCTAAAATTTCTGGAGTCTCTCCACCGTCCGATCATTTTTGGAACGCTTTATTCTTCATTTTTTGTTTTTCATTTTCGGAGTTTTTCTCATCTCACTTTATCCATGGCCACCACTCTTCCCCCACACCCAGCACCCTTCCTCAAAACCCCTCTCCCAATACCCAAACCAAACACCACCACCGCCATTACAAGTAGCTACGCTCCTATACGGTGCGGTCCCCGGGACAACCGCGGACCTCTCGTCAAAGGCCGAATCTTGAGCATCGAGGCTATCCAAGCCGTCCAAGCCCTCAAACGGGCCCACCGATCCGACCCCTCCACCCTCCCCACCGTCGCCTCCAAGACTCTCTCCCGCCTCATCAAATCCGACCTCCTGGCCGCCCTGAAGGAGCTCCTACGCCAGGACCATTGTGCCCTCGCTCTCCATGTCTTCTCCGCTGTCCGATCGGAGTACCGTCCCGACCTGTCTCTCTACGCTGATATGGTCATCGCCCTTGAGAAGAATGGGATGGCGGAGGATATCGACCGTCTCATCTTTGATTTAGAGATGGAGGGGTGTGGGGCCGTGGGAGATGATAATAAGGGGCTGATAAGGTTGGTGAGAGCGGTGATTGCCGCAGAGAGGAGGGAATCAACGGTCAGGATTTATGGGATGTTGAAGATGGGTGTATTGGGGTCCAGTGGTTTTGAAGCGGATGATCATACGGTTGGGGCTTTGAGTAAGGGGCTCAGAAGGCTTGGTGAGGCGGCTTTGGCTGATGAGGTAGATAGGGAATTTGGAAGGTCTCAAAAGGGTAGTTTGGAGAAAGTCTCAGTATAATTAACAATTTACATGAGAAAAGAAAATGTAAAACTATTATTAATTTATGATATAGATATTAAATTCCATTAATTTTTACATTTTTTTTTATGTGTTGCGTTTTTATTAACGGAATACAGTTGTTTTTTTTTTTTTTTGGAAATACACTAAATAGTATATTTACTTATAGCACAGTTTTTAAAGAATGATAAATTATATAGCATATTTATAATTTTAAATATCAGACAAAATATTCTTTGACATATTTACCCTTTCTTTTAGGGTTTCTTTTTTTTTTTCCCCCCGACACTCAAAGCTCTCAGCCACCCTCTCTCTCTCTCTCGTTGCTATCTCCGGGATCGCGACTCCGATCTCCGGGAAGTCGCTCCATTTTCGGCGAAGAAAACGACTTCGACGTCTTCTTCTCCCTCCTCTGAATCGCGCTGATCGAGATCCGGGAACGAGGACGACACGCGAGTCTCCGATGATCACGAAGTCGAGCGATCGTCTTCTTCGGTGCCGTCAAGAGCGACCATCATCAGCCGACCGTCAGCTGATATGCTTTCTCCTTCTTTCCGCCCCAGGTCTCTTTCTTCTTCTTCTCTCTTCTAGAATGGTTCGTCGCCGTCGATTTCTGCAAAATGGCCTCCGAATCCGACAGGTCCGGTGACAGTAGAGGAGATCGCCGCCTCGCGATCGGTGTTTCGGGAAATAGATCCGGCAATACTATTCTCCGCCTTCAAACCAGACCAGATCCGATCAAATCAACCACCAACCTTTTTCTTTTGTTTTTAATTTCTTCGAATTTGTGATTGTGGGTTTGAATTTTTATTTTATTTTGGTGCATATTTATAGTTGGGGTTTTTTTCGTTCAAGTATTCTTTTTCTTTTTTGTTTTTTGTTGCACTGTGGTCTTTTGCTTCAATTTGCCTCGATGGCGGGGTATTAATCTTTTGTTTGTAAAGTGTCGTGGTTAGTGATTTTGTTGGGCATTAATCGTTCAACCAGATTTGTCTTTCAAAGATTTTATGGTTTCTTTAATTTGCATAAACATTTTTAAGAACTCCTCCATTTCCACCATTTGTTATCATAATCTCCAGCTTTGTCTTTGGGCAAAAACCAATTCCAATGGCGCCGTGAGCAAAGGATCCTTCTTCTCCACTTGAAGTTGCGAATAATTTTTGGGGCTCCAATTGTTTTTGGCGTTGTCTGCAAGCGTGTAATTGAGCTTCAATTTTTATTTAGAAAAAATTCAAAACTTTGTTTTGGGTACCAATGTAAACCTCATTACATGTTTTTATGAATTTTGTTTATCATTTATGTGAATTTTGTGTATGAGTAAATACGAGATTTATAGTAAATAGAATACTTATCAGTTACTTAAATTTTTGAATAAATATCATATTTACTGATAAATATGCTATATAATAATCATTTGCGTCGGTGTCTGAATTTTTAAATAAATATAATATTTATAAATAAATATGATATTTATCAGTAAATATAACCTCCACTTAACAACGATATATACTGATAAAATTGATAGTAAATATGATATTTATTTGTAAATACGATATTTACCGCTACATAGAGTGTTAAGTGGTCGCCAGGCCAGATTTTTGGATAAATATGATATTTACTTGATATGGTATTTATTGGTAAATATAGTGTTAAATGGTTGTCAGGTTGGTGGCTGAATTTTTGGATAAATGTGATTTACTAGTAAATACAGTATTTACTGGTAAATACAATGTTAAACGGTTGTCGGAGTTGGTGGCCGAATTTCAAGATATTTACCAGTAAATACAATGTTAAACGGTCGTCAGTGTCAGTGGTCAGATTTTCAAGTAACAATGATATATATACTGATAAATACAATATTCATTGGTAAATACAATGTTAAACAATTGCCAGAGTCAGTGGTTGAATTTTCTGATAAATATGATATTTACTAGTGAATACGATATTTACTGGTAAATATGGTATTTATCGAAAAATACAATGTTAAAGAGTCGTAAGAGTCCGTGCCATAATTTTTGATAAATATGATATTTACTAGTAATTATTAGTAAATACAGTATTTACCTATAAATATAGTATTGAACGGTTGCCGAAGTCGGTGCCTGAATTTTCAGATAAATATAATATTTATTAGTAAATACGGTATTTACCGGTAAATACAGTATTAAACAGTCACCAAAGTTAGTGACTAAATTTTCATGTAAATATGATATTTACAAATAAATACAGTATTTGTTGGTAACTATGGTATTTATCTGTAAATATAGTGTTAAATCGGAGTCGGTGGTCAGCTTTTATGGTAACTATGATATTTATTAGTAAATACAATGTTAAATGGTAAATACGGTATTTATCAGTAAATACAGTATTAAACCGTCGCTGAAAAACAGTCACCGAAAAATGATCATCGGTCTTCAAAAAACAGTAACAAGTTGTCAAAAAATAGTCTCCAGTCACCAGAGCCAGCCACCGGTCCCAACTATAGTGGGTTTTACTATAATCTACCTATGTTAAAAAATATGCTATAATTTATTATTTTTAAAAAAAATAGATATTCAGGAGGAGAAGTGAGTGAAAAAAGAGATTTAGAAGTATTTTTTAAGTTTTTAATAATGTTTAAAATTTAAAATATTAAATGATACTATAATTTACTATTTTAAAAAAATATGTTATAATTTAATAATTACTTTATCAATTATATTATTTCCCTTTTTATTTTTTTTTAAGTAGAATTCAATTTTTTTATGGCTCAGATATTAGTTTTTTTTTCTTCGGGTATGATGCCCGAGAAAGTTATTGTATACTCTTTTTCTTTTTCTTTTTTCATTTTTTATTGGAGCATTATAGTTGTACACATTTTACACGCACATGTTACAAACGAATTGAAAGGGAACACGTTTCATTTTAGATATAAAGTTATTTGATCCAAGAAAGAGAAAGTTATGAAAGAACAATAATGAAGCTTAAAATTTCCGGACTTGTTGACCGCAGATAAATAAATCTGTAAAAGAGGAAGGGGAAAAAAAAAAAGAGCAACTGATTAAGGGATATTACCCAGCTTTTTGACTATAGATAAATTTATGGGCATGATGTATATCATTTTGAAGGTTTTTATGGTCGATTTGTCATGAATTTTGCGTGTTTTATAGAAAAAATTAATAACCATTGAAATAAGTCTTATATTAACGGGATTTTCAAAAAAAGTCTTATGTTAACGGGATATAAGATGCACTGTTTAAGTGCCAACAAATTTTTTTTTTTTTTTTTAAAAGTTGACAAATTCTTTTTCAGTCAGTTGAATAAGATCATTACTCGAGTCCACTCATGGATTGGTGTACCAACTCCTCATTCCTTGGGTCTATAGTGTTTGTGCATGCAGTCAATTTTTCATTTTAAGAAAAAAAAAAAAAAAAACAATTCCCTTGTTGAAGGAATAGCCATCGAAATATAAAATGAGGTTATATCCGGATTCATTTTACTAATTTAAATTTTATTATAATAAAAAAAATTTAAAAATAATCAATTTAATTTTTTTATTATAATAAAAAAATATCATTTAAAATTATATTTTAATTCAAAATTATAATATCATTTTTTAGAACCTGGAGGTTGATAGTAACAATAATAGACCCAGCTGACGGCCGAAAATTACAAGAAGGCCACTACCCCATTATTCCCTGCTGCTGGCGAAAGCTCCCACGCAACACACGCCGCAGAGGCAACACCACGGAGTATAGCAAACCCCCCCATTCCTCTGCCCCAATTCCCAAATTCCAATTCCAAGGCTTTCATTAAAAGAAGAAACTTTATTGAAATTTTAGTCAAACAAACCTCAATACCCCCCCAAAATCACTATTCCAATCATCTTCATCTTCATCATCAAACACATCTTCAATGAGTGGTGGCCAAACTCTTCCGCCTCCAGAACATGCCTGGCTTCACACTTACCACAAATTTCTTCCTCACTTCCAATCCTCCCACCAGGTACTTTCCTTTTTCTTTTTCTTTTTGCATGCTTTTTTTTTCTTTTTTTGGGTTTTGTTTCAAATTTCAAATTTTGGCTTTGTTTCTGATTCGTTTTGATGCTCAGTTATTGTATTTTTGTCCAATTCTCAAGCGGTTATTGTTCCCTAGGTTTCTGTTGGATAGAATTTTCTGGTGAAATTTTGAATTTTGTGTATTAAGAAGTAATAGTTTCTGTCCAATTGTAAATATCTGTTTTCTGGGTATTGATTCCCAGAAAAGACAAATGTAATTGTACGCGAGATTTTACAGGAATCTGTGTGTTGTAAATGGGGTTCTAATTAATGGGATTTCCTGGAATTCTAGAACCCATTTTCTTTCAAAACAAACTTAAATATACAACTTGATATACGAGTCCGTGAATGTTTCATGAAGTGAAGTTCATAAGATTTTTATTGTTCATTCCAAATGCTCTTTTATAATATTTTTCAATTAAAACAAGCTCAAATGTTGTAGGATTCATCTTTGCAGTCTATTATCCCGATTACAATATCAAGAGTAAATCAAGTTGATGCAGCAAGACTAGATATCGAAATGTCGGCTATGTTAAAAGAGCAACTGGTTAAGGTCTTCTCTTTAATGAAGGTACCTTTTTTGGTTTATTGCTAAGTCCATCACACCAATTAGGCGTTAAACTATTAGCTTCAAGCTGTGTTCTTGACATTGTTTAAGACTATTACTTCCTTTTTGTTGGGATTAGCCAGGACTGCTATTTCAATACGAGGCGGAGCTTGATGCTTTCCTTGAGTTTCTCATTTGGAGGTTCTCAATTTGGGTGGATAAGCCTACTCCGGGGATCGCTCTTATGAATTTGAGGTATAGAGATGAACGTGCATCGGAAGCCAGAGGAAAAGGTGAGAGGAAGTTCCAAGTATCCCTTGGTGTTTTATTATTATTATTATTATTTTATTTTTTTAAATAAACATGGTGACATCCAATTTTAGATAATAATTCTGATGTTTCATTTGATCACACTGCTACTTTACTGCTTCTGTAGCCAAATTAATGAACAAGACTATAGAGATGGGCTTTTCGAAAAGTTATACGATTCTTTTCATAACTATGCCGTTTTCTATATAAACTATTATACAGTTAGAACTGGCCTGGAAGGACCTGGTCTTACGGTTGCACAAAAGATTTGGTATTGTGTTGCGACCGTTGGTGGTCAATACATCTGGGCTCGTTTGCAATCTTTCTCTGCTTTTCGTCGATGGGGTGATTCCGAGCAGGTACTTTATTTCTTAGCATTTATGTTGTCTCCTCACGCAGTAAGGGGAGAAGACAAGGAAGATACTGCAGATGGATTTAACTTTGCACAATTGGTTCCTTCTTTCGATTGAGCTTTACACAATTGTTTCCTTCTTCTTTCAGAGGCCATTGGCACGGCGAGCATGGATTTTGATACAACGGATAGAAGGATTTTATAAAGCTGCTTCTTTTGGCAACTTGCTTATATTTCTTTACACGGGAAAGTAAGTAACCGTTCACATTCGAAAGGGGATTATTATTATTATTATTTCTTGGTTGATTAAGATTAACCTACAACAACTCAGTACTTAGTAGGGTGCTATTTTCTCGAAAATACATTTATTATCAGTCAAATATGGAAAAATCTTTAAATGTGAAGTCCTCAGAATAAATAGTGATGATATAATTTCCTTGGACGTATTGAACTCTAAGGATCTTCATCACTTGGGATGCAGGTATAGAAATCTTATTGAAAGAGCATTAAGAGCTAGGCTTGTCTATGGAAGCCCTAACATGAACCGGGCTGTTAGCTTTGAGTATATGAACCGCCAGCTAGTGTGGAACGAATTCTCGGTTAGTTCTCCTTCTTCATTACATTTACACTTCTAAGTTCTAACCCTGGGAGATACTACGAGTCAAGTAATATTCTTGGTTGAGGAATCTTCATTCCGAGATATCAAAAGGTGCTTGATGTTTCAACCTTTGCTAAAAATCTGTGATAATCTCATTTCCCTGTTAGTCATTCGTATAAATATAATTTTTAGGAAGGCTAATTTTACAGTTTTTTATCTTGTTAATTTTAATGATACGTGTATGGTTAAGGGTATCTGAACATAAAGCTTTGAGTTTGTTTCGTTGTGAGGCCATTTCACCTTTTTTTTTTTCTTTTTCTTTTGTGTGTATGAGTGGTGGGGTGGGGTGGCCGTGTCAGCTAGCTGCTTTGTTTTCTTTACCACAATGAATTTGTTTGTTCACTCTTGATTTTTCTATGAGGTGATTTCCACCTGAATGGCTGTGTGATTGCTTGTGGAAGAGTCACTTTTATATACACATAACTACATTACATATACTTTATAGTTCCGCTTTTTCTGTGCTGACTTCTATAATTTGCAAACTCATCTTCTATGGAGACACCTTTTATGGAACTTTTTAGTAAGAGTTCTTTTGTTGGTTGCAGGAAATGTTGTTGTTGCTCCTTCCTCTTCTGAACTCAGCATCTGTCAAAAACTTTCTTCGCCCATTCTCCAAGGACAAATCTTCGGGCTCCGCAGAAGATGACTCTGCTTGCCCTATTTGCCAAGCTAATCCAACCACTCCATTTCTTGCCCTCCCCTGTGAACACAGGTACATGGAAACATAAAAAGGAACATAGAAAAAAAAAAAGGAAAAAAAGGAGGAAATTTTGAACTTATTTTAAGTTAGCTGTTATCGACTGAGCCTTAAAGTGTTAATTTAAACTTTTATTCTGCTTTTTTCCTTTTTCTATCTAAAATTCACTAGCTCAAACTTTTCTCCTATCTGGGGAACTTTTAACTGAGAACAAGCTAAACTTTTCAAATCAATGAGCTGTACCCTGTCAAAATATTAGAATCTGTTGGTATAGAGAAGGGCTGAGGATTTTAGAACACAATAATGTGATTAGAAATGACTTGTTCATTTATATCTCAAAACTTTGGTCTCCTCAGAATATAAACCCAAGTTTAGTTGAGAAGAAAGAAAGCTTAAAAATAGTTTGATTTCCGATGCTGGCAGATACTGTTACTACTGCCTTAGAACACGCTGTGCTGCAGTTCCATCATTCAGATGCTCGAGATGCAACGAGCCAGTAGTCGCCATGCAACGGCATGGCGGGGTCGTCAATCCTGCTCGAAAGTAGTGGCTAATTACCGGATGCAAAAAGGGGATTTGTTGAGAAGCATTTACACAAAGTAGGCATAGCAAAGTAGAAATAATGTTTGAAAAATATCATTATTATTTTTTCTCTTTCCATCAAGCATTACAAGCTTTACCTACAGAAATAATGTTCGAGTTGGTCAATCAGATACCTTGTAAAATCATTCGTTGATGATCTATTGAGCGGAGAGGTTCATTCTTTGTCATCTTCTGAGTAATTTCTATATCCGACTTTTTATCATGTTTTTCTCCTAGGCATATTCTTGTCTGTAGGTAGCCGAGGAAAGGGTTTGACTATATATTCATTTCAGTAAAATAAACAGTGCCTGAAACCTGCCGTCCAAGCATATGTACATCTGTAGTTCGTCTTTTTCTATTTTTGATCCAAGTCTCCGTTTCGTTGACAGGCAAAATATCGTAACCACACGCAGCAAGTTGTATTTATTTATTTATTTTCCTGTAAACTAAAAAATGATATAAAATCAATAGAAGATTTCTTAATGTACAAGGTTCTTTTGAACTGGACTAGATCTGTGGTAAAGAAAAAAAAAAGAAAAAAAGAAAAGAAAAGGGGCAATGTAATTTGTTCTTTTCTGTCCTTTTTTGGACCAATAAAATTGATTCATTTGTTTAAATCGAGTATACTTAAAAATATTAACTGTAATTTGTAATAAAATCTCGATTCAAGTTTGACCTTGAAGATATCCGTACATGATGTGTCTTTCTTTTGTAATTAGAAATAGTCTTTGAATTATGATGTCCCATTAATTACTAATGTTGTCGGACTTATTGTTAATTATATATGGCTGTATTTACACCAACCTACATTTTGTAGGTCAAAGACTCAAGGTATCAGTGCTTGGTATTTTGGTGTTTGAGTGGAAAGTCATGTGATTTAATAAATATCTTCTTAATTAGCTTATAACATGAATAATTCTTTAATCACCCAAAAACAAACTCTAGTATATTTACTGTTCAAATCTTAAATTAGGAATTTTCTTAAATATTTGTCTCTTCTACAAACTTAGGAAGTATTGCCCATATGGGCACCCTTTCAAGTTGCCTCAAAATTGATTGTCGACTCTTGCTAGGATTGTTTTTAATATTCTATATTTTCTTTAATTAGGTCAATGCTCGAAACGGAGCCTGCATGATATATATATATACATCACAAGGGTTAGAGCAATCTACAAAAATATTTGAAGTGTTTATTTAAAGATAAATAGAAGCTTAATAAACTAATCTTACAAAAAAAAAAAAAAAAGAAAAAAAAGTAAACCGGCCATTATAATAGGCGAATTCTTATCATTAAGCACTAGTCTCTCTTGTTAATACAACACCTAATCTTATTATCATATACATAATTGTGATGGAAAATGTAGTTAGCACAAAAGGTTAGTGTTTGAAATTGAGAGACCAATGAATGGGCACTGATGGTTTATTCCAACACATTGCAAGGAAAAATAAACAATGATTTTTCAACTAAATCCACCATCTTTGACTCTTAATGACATACAACAGAGAGTGATTCTTCACAGTTCACACGTGAAAATCGATGGATGAGAAAGGATCTATCATTGTCTAAGTCTAGCAATTATTACTGTTAATCATTTCTTGAAAGCCATTTAGTGCATCATTCAAGAAAGAAAAAAAAAATTATTAACGAGGAAATAATTAATTCTTACAATATTTCTGATGAAATTTTAAACCCAGGATTCCCTCCTGCCCATACATGTGTCAGTGTTGCCACGCTCCTGAGATGGACTTTTTGAAAATTATTCAACTTGTTCTGTTAATGGCAAGCATTCAAAGACACTGGAATGTCTTGATCAATGGGTTACTTATGCCATGTATATATGTATCCACTGGTAATTGTTGTCCGACATTCCGATAATTTACACGGATTAATTTAAGATGATAATGTTTTAACTAACCGAAAATCTACTCATAATTTTTGAGATTGCTCTCAATTTTCCCATTTGATATCTAAATTTCTTCGAGTATACTAAATAATTGCACCTCAACCAAAAACCAAAGAAACTATACACAAATATTTATGGTCTGTTTAGTTCACGCGTTTAACTCAGATTCTGATTCTGAATTCAAATTTTGTGAGAGAGCCCATTAATAGAAACTTTTTTTATTCAAATTTTTTGTGAGAGAAAAGTAATGTAGCAGAATTAGAATCATGAATTTGAACAAACGGTGTATTGTGGTACTATACTAACAAATTACTAGACCTAACCATTGCAAGTACGTAAAAATTTCACCTTAAAAGTGCGTTTGGTTGCAGTGAGGGAATGATAATGGGAATGGAAATAAGAATGGTAATGGAAAGGAAAGATGATGCATTTGTTTGGTTCTACTTTTACAAATGCAATGAAATGGAATATGAATATTTTCATGTTGACAAAATTACCCCTCATGCTAATATAACTAATATCATATATATTAATATAATCATTTAATAACTAATATTATATATATAATTATAAGGATATAATATATAATTATAATTATAGTTATATAATATTTATTAT